TTGCACAGCTGTCCATGACAACCCCATCTCAACGCCACCAGGCTTCCTCGTCTCTCCATCATGTTTTATCCTTTTCTCCCTCCACGTCATTCTCTCGTACCTTAGACAGGCTTTATCCTTGTGGTTGAAATCAGGCTGCTCTGTGACTTGTGAGACAAATTCCCTTCCCCTCCTGCCCCCAGATATAAAAGTCTAGGTAAGGACTCTGGTCCAGCCTGAGTCACACTGCATCACTGAACCTTCTCCGTGGTCAGAGGCAGGGGATGGGTGTCAGGATGGGCAAGGTCGTGCCATGCAACGTGCCATGTAGAACCTCAGCAGTGATTTATTTCTCCCTCACTCTGAACATCCACCCCTGTTTGCCCAGGAGGCTCTGCTCACCTGGGGCTCTTGGGGACCCAGACTGACAGATGCCACAGCTCAAAATGTGTTCCTGCCATCACTGCAAGAGGGAGGCATTCAGAGCGTCGCCCACTGGCTGGGAAAGAGTCCCCAGGGAGACACGCAAGGCACTGAGCTCACGGTTCACGAAGCAAGTCTGTGGGCACATCCAAGTTGAGGGGTGGAGAGGTGCACCCTCTAGGAGGATCTGACCTTGGATCATGCTGTAGTCTCGGGACAGCGGGGGCTAGGCTGGGGTCGGGCAGGGGACCGTGACTGTTACAGCCCGGGCTGGAGGGGTGGGAGCTCCTCTAGGAAGGGGAGGAGGGTGCCAGCCGCTCTAAACACTCGTTGGGGGCCGCAGCCAAGAGGGAGCCAGGCCAGGCAGGGGTGTGTGAGCGGGGGCACTGAACAGCCTCGCCAGGCTTCGGGTGCGGCAGCAGCGGGAGCCCCAAAGGACCCCTGGGGACCAGCTCTCCGGGAATCAAGAGTCAGGCTTCAGCCCAGGCAAGAGAGCAGGAGTGGTCCGGCCTGGACTCCAGAGGGATGGGTTAGGTGGGGACCCTCTCTATTTGCTTGCCTTCTGGTTCTGGGATTGGCTGTGGGCAGGCCAGGCTGTCAAGAATGACTTATCCGTCAGAGTTGAAGCTTGCACTGGACAGAGGCTACTGGTGCTCGGATTGGTCAAGGACCTGTCTCAGGTTCGAGGAGCTCTTGGGAAGCCGGCACTGCTAGATGCCCACCACGTGCCAGGCTAGCGTGCCCCCCAGCCCCACCACCAGGCGCGCCCATCTCAGCCGCGCGGATGAGAGCCTGGGGTCCAGGAACACATCACACAGCCGGCACCCCGTCCCAGGCCTCACCCCCCGCAGCATCGCAGGATTCCTGGGGAAGGAGCCACAGCCTTTGAAACGACAGCGGGTCCTCACGTGACTGAAGACCTCGGGAACCAGATGGGCGTCCGCCGGCCTGTGTTTTCGGCACATTCCTGAGCTCCGAGAGGAGAAATAAAAGTGCTCCCTTGTCTGCGAGCTGAAGAGACAGCAATATTGTGGAGTAACTAGGACCAGATGGGCTCCAGGAATTTCCAAAGGCCTCTCGGCCTATTAGACAAAATAGTCTCCCAGCCGCACACCATAACTCCGTCTGGCCGCCCGGGTATCGGTTACCGCGATGACCGGCGGGCTGTGAGCACCCGGCTCGGGGGTCCCAGCAGGGAAGGGGTCTCTGGTCGGTCCACCGACCCCTCCTCCTGGCCCCTCAGGAGCACCCCTCATGTGCCAGCCCTCCCCAGAGCTCCAAGGCCAGGGCGCCCAACGGGAATCTCAGAAAGGGGTGGGACGTCCCTGAGCCACGGAGCTGGATGCCCGAGGCCCCCTCGCTAGCACCCCACCTGGGAGGGGAGGTCATGGGCACGGGGCACCCAAGGGTGGGCACTTCAGCACATGGGGTGCAGGCTCTGGGGGGCGGGGGGCGTGTCCGGAGACCCACCCTCTCTGCACCCGTGTCCTCCTCCATGGACACAGCTGTGCTGAGAATGAAGCCAGCAAACACGCCTGTGCATGCCCCACGTCGTAAACCCAGAAGCTGCACGGATGCCCCGGCCCCGAGAACATCCCTCCTGGTGCCCTCCTGAAGGATGCCAATGTTAACTGAGAATGTGCCAACACCAGGGCATCTTCTGGGGGAAGAGATCGGGGCTCAGCATGGTGACGGCCTTACTCAAGGCCACAGAGCTGGCAAAAAAGTCCAGCTCCAACCACTGTGTCCACACCTCCCGATGAGTCAGCTCCCGCGTGCAGCGAGGCCCCGTCTCTTGAGGTGTCCATTTCCCGTCTGTGCAGCAAGAGGCTGGGGAGCAGGCCAGGAGGGCAGCCCACTCTCTCCCGCTGGACCCTAAGTCCGCCCTCAAGTGACCGGAGCGCGTAGGCCAGGCCACTTCCGTCCCCTCACATAGGCTTCTGCAGTGGAAGGGCCAGCCTGCGGGCGGGGACGCATCTGCCCAGGGTCCCTCCGAGGCCAGTGGTGAAGCAGGTTCAGACCGAGGCTGGCCGGCCACAAGGCCCACGTCCTTCCTCCAGAGACCGCGCCCCTGCCGGCAGAGCTCAGGGCTCCCTCGTGCCCTGCAGCGTGCCTGGACCCTGGTGGCGACAGGTGTGCGGAGAGAAGTGCCCAGGGGGGTGCCCGGGGCGACACTCAGGACCCTCCGGCTCCCCATCGGAAAGCTGCCATGGGCAGAAGCCAGGAGGCCCGGCTCTGGTCCCCAGCTGGCCACCAGGCTCCTTAACAGCCCACAGGGCATCTGTTTCCAGATTGACCACCAGCCCTGAGCCCCAGTGGGCCCTCCACAAAGAACAGCTCTGCCCCTCCTGCACCCTGGTCATTCCGAGCCTTTGCCAGACGGTCTGGTTGGGGGGACGGGGGGCTCATTCCAGAGTCAGGCGGCCTCGGGTCCGTTCCCTGGCTTTTCCGTTGCCCGTGTGATCTTGGGCAAGTCACTTGACCACTCTGAGTCTCGACCCCCTCGTCCGTAAGGCAGTGACGCAGCTGCTGATGGCTAAGCAGTACTGAGTGTCTGCTCCAGGCTCGATACCGCTATAAGCACTCGACAAATATTGGCTCTTTGAGTTTTCGTGACAACCACCCCCATGCGGAGTATCATTCCCACTTTGCAGATGGGTACACTGAGGCAGAGAGGTAAAAGCACCTAGCTAGCGGGGCGGAGGGCTGGGACTTGAGGCCTGGCCAGTGAGGGGCGGGCGCTCACAGCTTAACCGCTGCCCCCCTGCAGCCTGGCTGAGAGTCCTGGGAAGGCACCGCTCCCAAGACGGCACCCAGCCTCACCGCGGTGGCCCTGGGCTTGGGGCAGGGCGTCCCCAGCCGGGGCTGGCTGGGCTAAATGAAACCAGCTCGAGGGCAGGCGGCCCTGGAGGAGCTGGGGAGGCATCATGTCTCCTTCAGTTCTGCCCGGGAGTCCTGCAAAGCTGAGGGGCCCTACCAGTGCCCTCGCCTGTGTTTACACCCCAGGCAGCAGGCTGGGCACGCCCCTTCCTGCCTCTGCCCCCTCCAGCCTCAGGCGTGGTGCCCTGGGCGGGCAGTGCTGCCTGAGAGCCTGCACCGGCCCCTAGCCGAGATCGGGGCTCTGAACTCTCTCGAGAGGATCTCCCAGGACTCGCGGGCCTCCAGCCGGGCCCGGCGCTGAGGTCTCAGGGACGAGAGGGGCACTTGATCACACAGCCGCTACGTGTGGCTTGGCTCTGAGCTGGCTCCAGTGTCACCCTGGACACCCCGCCCAGCCTCGCAAGTTCAGGACACAAGCCACCAGGAGGCCTGAGGACAGAGGCTCCGAAGGCCCTGGGCGGCTCCCTGCGTGGTAGGCGTGGGGCCCCGGGGCCTGCCCACTCCCCAGCATGGGGCGTGGTAGGGGCGGGGGTCCTCTTAGGTCAGATCATCAGGACGCCCTGGAGCCGCCTGCCGCAGAAATTCCCACCCACGCCGGGCACCACGCTTGCCCACACGGGCTCCTTTTTGTAGGAGCTTTTCCAAGCTTGCCAGGACCCCAGGTTCTCCTCCGAGCATGCATTTGACCCTAGACCTCCCAGCCTGGCCCCATTCTGGCCCATCCAGTCAGCCAGGGCTTGGCACGTTCCCCTTGGGGTTTCATAACTTGGGGGATCATTTGCAAAGAGCACACATGCTAAGAATGGACCCCAAACACCTCACGGGAACCAGCCCGGACTCTCCTCCCTGCCCTGCGGCAGAGTCACCACCATGGTCACGGACGGTCCCGAACATCGCCCAGGTGTTTAGTCTTGGGCCCACCCTCCGGGTGAGTACCGTGTCCTTCGAGGCCCATCTCACAGAGGAGGAAGGAGCTGCAGATTCCGGAGCCAAGGCCCTGGTGGGAATCCTGCCCCTCCAGCTCCCAGTCTGCGCTCTGAGCAAGCAAACCCCCGATCCCCAATCGCACGCCTCCACATCTACACCTATAAACAGAGATGACAGCCTTGCCCGCCTACATCCGCCTCACACCCAGCACAGGCCACACCGGGACCCACCCACCACCCTAAGGTCTTCACCTCTTGTCCTTGCCCGGGCACTGACCCTCGAGGGGCCACCCACTGCCTGCCCAGGCTGTGCCCCTGACGCTGGGGGCGCCCTGGCCACTCTGCCAGGCTGAGGACAAGGTCCCGCTCCCCACCTGCCCCAACCCCTCTGCCCCCGCTCAGCCCATCCCCACATACGCTCCCTGCCTGGCACCTTCCCATCCCCACCCTCCCCTGTCCCTGAAATCCCTCTGTCTGGAGAGCAGCCCCATTCACCCCTGCTAAATCAGAGGCAGCTGAGAACATGCTGTGGGATCTGGCAGGGCTGGGGTCAAGCCTGGCTCCACCACCCACGAGATGCACAGCCTGGGGCAAACTCGCTGGGCCTCAGTTGCCTCATCTGTATAGTGGGCACAGCAACTTTCCTTCTCCAGAGGACCCTGAGGACAGAATAAAACGCTAGCATTCGCCAGGCCGCTGCCCCGGGCCCCTTGCTGTGTGAACTTTCAGCCTTTATTTCCTCTGATCTTAGGAGGGACGGACTCTTCCTCTGAAGAACACACGGCAGCCGGGTGCATCGGGAAGGGCCTTTATGGTTCTCTGGAACAGAGGCTCCGTGGACACAAGCCCGTCGCCGCCTGCCCCCTGGGGTCGCAGCCCCGTGTTGAGGAGAAGGGGTGTCAGGTGCAGGGCCTGGGGGGCAGGGCGGGGCAGAGGGGCGTCCAAGTGTTTGTGACACGGGGTCATCTTGGGACCCACCCTGCCCCCACAGCAGAGGGGGTGTGAGGGAGAAGGTGGGAGAATTCAGGGCACCCCCAAGTGGCGAGGAGCAGAGTCCCAGAGGGGGTTGATCAGGGACGGCCCACCTTCCCTCCCCCAACTCTGATCACTGAGAACACACCCAGGCCGTGGAGCGCTGGATGCCTCGCCAACCCCCGGCTTCCCAGGGGTCCTGAGCATCCCCTTCAGAGTAGAGCCGGGGACAAGGTCAGGGCCCACCTGGGACCCCAGATGCAGGGCAGGCCTGGCATTTTCGGGGAGGCCGGTGGAGGCTGTAGCCCTACCTGGGCCCCACCCCAGCACCAACCCCTACCCACTGTAGGCCAGGATGGAGACCCTCCGCTCACCTCCAGCAACCCCAGCCTGGTGTCACCAGCACCACGGTCCCCACCTGGGCCTCGGGGCCTGTGGGACCCCACTGGGCCACCTGCCCCTCCATGGTCTCCTGGGCTGGGCCTCGCTTTCCTCTGGCCTCCAGAGCTTAGGCCTGTCCTGTCCTTGAGCCCAGAGCTCGTCCCCTGCCCCCCCACCCCAAGCCTGCCCTTCCCTCTGGACAAGCAACATGTTGGTGGAACATGCTCCCCCTCTCCACGAGCGGGGAGGGGCGCAGGGACAGCGGGTCCAGCCCTTCCTTTATTGATGGGAGGGGACATCAGATGGGAAAGCCCATCTGCGCCTGTACGCCCTTCCCTGCGACCCCACATCCAGGACACGGGCTCCTCCCTGCTGCCTGGGAATCCCACCCAAGAGACGGGCTGAGCCCCTCTTGGACGTCCCACCCCTGGCGGCAGGGGGAGAGGGCGGAGAAGAGGCAGGAGGGAGGTCCTGCAAGCCTCCTCAGTCTGAAACGGCCATGCTGTGTTGAAAACTAGAGCACCCCACCCTGGGGGGCAACCCCCTGCACCCGGAGCCTCACCTGCCTCCTCCCTCCTGGGAGAACGGCCACCTCTGCAGGGTCTGGTCCTGCCGGGACTCGGGCCCTGCCTTCTGCCCCCAACACCCGGGGGGCGGGGGGTGAGCGGAGCTGCGCGAGGCATCCCCTGCCCCTCGGCTGGAGGAGGAGACGTGGGGGGGGCCGGTGGGTGGGCGGACGGGCAGCAGGCGGGCAGCCCCCGAGAGGGCAGCGTGGTCAGGGCACCTCGGGGGGCAGCAGAGGCGAGTCTGAGTTCTGAGCTGAGACATTGGCGGACTCGGGCCCGATGAGCCCCAGGCTGTACAGGTTAAGGATGGAGTCAGCGATGATGCGGGCCGTGCGCTTCTGGTAGCCGCCCGAGGTCACCATGAGGATGGGCAGCTGGCGGCCACGGACCATCCGGAACACCAGCTCGTCCCGCTTCACGACACCCTGGGGTGGGGGCACGGGGAAGGCGGGCTCAGGCAGGCCCGGACCCTCAGGGCGGTGGAGGTCCTGCTGTGGGTCGAACCCCGCTCCACGCCGTCGCTGCTGCTGCTGCCCAGCCCCTCTGGCCTCAGGAGGAACGCCCACGCCGCCACGTTCCCCGGTCGCTGCCGAGTCCCCAGAGCGGGGCCCGCCCCCGCCCCAGGGTCGGGACGCACCTGCGGACTGATGGCCAGCCCCCCAAGGCGGTCCCCCTCGAGGATGTCCGTGCCTGCGTTGTACACCACCACGTCGGGCCGGTGCTCCTGGAGCGCCTTCTCCAGGTTCCTCTCCACCTTCTGAAGGTATTCATCATCCTCCGTGCCCCAGTCCAGCTCCACCTTCCGCCTGATGGCCTCTGGGTGGGGGAGAGACAGCGATGCCCCAAAGTGCAGACGGGAAACGGGGTTGGGGGGGACTGCCTGCTCTCCCACCTGAGTCTAGCACTGCTCAGCACTCATCCACCCTAAACTAAGGTAAAAGAGCCTGAGAGCTGCAAGGGGCCCAAAGGACAGTGGGCGGCGGAGGGGTCACGGATGAAACACTGCCCCGGGGAGTCAGGGACCCACGCTGGGTGCCTGAGCTCACTGCCTCCATGAGCACTCGCCCAGAGACATGGACACCCCATGTGCCCTCAGGTCCGAATCCAGCCCACTCGAGATTCAGTTCAGAAACAGGTCCCTGGAGCCACAGAGTGGCTGAGTCACCCACAGCAGACCCGCAGGCACTTCCTGCATAAATGTCCCCTCCCCACAAGGTGGGCAGGTCCCCCTGTCTTCAAAGCTTCATTGAAGAGTCTCTGCCTTTTAATTGATGAGTTTAACCCACTTGCATTTATTTAACAACTCTCATGTTTGAACTAATTTCTGCCATCTTATCTTGTATTTTCTACTTCTATATTTTTCTGTTTCTTTTTTGTCCTTCCCTGTTTTTGACAAGACAGCTGCCTAGCGAGGACAAAATTCTACTTTATTCTCCAGGTGGTCACCCCAGTAGCAGGATTCACAGTGTGTTTATTGGGGTGGGGGGGTGGTTATGTGGTCTTCGGTGGGTCAAGCGACCCCTTTAGTCTCAGTCTCCTTGTCTGTGAAGTGGGGACAGCCTCCCACTCCCTGGGATGCTGAGGATCAAGAAGTGAAGTGATGTTTGCAGGGCCTGGCACATGGGAGAAGCCCCGCAGAGCCCAGTCCAGGGGGGCGCGCTGGGGTGGGGGGCACTCACGCTTGGCGAAGCGGTCCCCGGGGTAGATGTGGCGGTTGTACACGTCCATGATGTACACGCGCTTGTCGCCCATGAAGTCACGCTCGTGCCCGTTGCCCTGGGGGGGCACACGGAAGCCACTCACAGCAGGCCGGTGCCTGGGGCCAGGCCAGGACCCCCCAGCACTCCCCAGGGAACGCCCCTGTGCCTGGGCAGCGGGGGACCCAGCCTGGGGCTCAGTGGTGTTCCTGGGGCGGGGAACCCCACCACGTGGGGCCATGTGTCAGAGGCCACCTGGGGAGGGGGGACCCAGCCCCGCCGGGCACTCACCTGATGAGCGTCGAGGTCCACGATGGTGGCTTTGGAGACGCCCTCCACTCGGTCAAACAGGAACTGGCCAGGGCAGGCGAGGGGAGAGGTGAGGACCCCCCAGGGCCAGAGGGCGCAGCCCCCCAGGGGCCCTGGGAGGTGACGGGTGCGCTGGGAGCACCTCCGTGCTTGTGGGAGACCCCAGGCCGCCAGGTCCGTGTGGCTCAGAGGAGCCTGTGTGTGTCTGCAGCGGGGACCCCCTCCCGGCTGACCCGGAGCTCCGTCTTGCCATCTCTGCCTTCTTACAGGGTCTGGCCCTAAAGCTGCCTCCTCAGGGAAGCCCTTCCTTCCCCTGCCCTCCCCTCCCGCCAGGCCTCCTGGCATCTCCCTCTCCAAATGGCCAGGGTCTGCTGCCCCCTCCTCCCCATCCGTTCCCAAGCCGTGTGTGGACAGGAGCCGTGGGGACCACGCGGACCCCCAGCCTGAGCCCAGACGCGGGTGCTGGGGGAGTGTTGCTTCTGACAGCCGCAGAGGCCACGGCCAGCGCTGCCCCTTCAGGCTGTGCCCTCACCCTCTCCGGCTCCGCTCCCTGAGGGTGAAGGGGTGAGGCCCACAGACAGGGCTGGGCCCTCAGCAAACGCCCGCCGCTGTCACCACCATCAAGATCATGATTCCTGTCTCCTCGCCACTCTCCTGGAGCAAAGGCCCGCCTCCTATCAATAATCTAGCGGCATCCCCGGCCCCTGGAGAAGGCTGTCGCCTCTGGACCGTCACAGGCAACACAGAAGAGCAGGTGTCACACCCATGTTTGAGTCTCAGCCCAGCGGAGGGACCCAGGCGAGCCCTCTCCCATTCCGGACCTCGACTCCCTTCAAGACAACGCGGGGTGAGAACACCAGACTGGGGGGGATTCCAGGGAGGCTCTTGGAGGCGATCGCCCCCCACCCTGCCCGCCACGTGCACTCGGACGCACCTTGATGGCAAGTGTGATGTCCGCGTAGGCACAGAAGCCTCCACCCCGGTCGCTGGAGCAGTGGTGGAAGCCGCCGCCTGTGAGGACAGTCATGGAGTGGGCAGGGCCGGGCAAGGGCACGCCCCGGGTGCCCCCTCCGTCCTCCCAGGGATGGCTCTGGGCCTCCAGGCTGGCCAGGCAAATGGACCCCCCCGGGGCAGGTCACCGCCCCTGGGTCCCTGGGCCCCTGGGTCCCTGGGCCGGGGGGCAGCTCTGCCATCACAGCACCCGAGCTGCCACCCCCAGGCCCCAGACCCAGCCCTGGGGCACTCACCTACGTTGATGGCCCAGCCACGGTCCACCGCCAGCTTCCCCGCCTCGGAGAACAAGCACAGTGTGAGACAGGCAGGCGCCCAATCCCTTCACCCGCTCATTCGCTGACTCACTGCCCCGTGAACACCGTTTGCAGCCAGCTCCAAGGTGGGGATGCGCTGTGAGGTGGGGTACAGGGCCCCCCCCCACCCGGCAAACCCCCGACTGGCTGGCTAATGAGGCGTGCAGTGCAGTGTGTGCATGCTCCGTAGCGTCCGACTCTGTGACCCTGTGGACTGTAGCCCGCCAGGCTCCTCGGTCCATAGGACTTCCCAGGCAAGAATACTGGAGTGGGTTGCCATTCCCTCCTCCAGGGGCTCTTCCCCACCCAGGGGTGGAACCCTCATCTCCTGTGGCTCCTGCATTGGCAGGTGGATTCTTTACACTGAGCCACCTGCGAACTGTAAACCCCTGTGTAACTCTGGGAGGGAACTGGAGGGAACCGAAGTTCCGTTCTCAGGCTTGTGCACGAGTTGGCAAGGATTCTCACGTGGCTTTCGAAGGGAAAACAGACAAAATTTTGCTCATGAAAATACTGTTGCTTTAGTCCTGAAATCTTGTAGGGACTCATCATTCTGGGGTGAGCAGGAATATTCTAATAACCTTTAAAAGTGCACAAATTTGCAAAGCTAAGAGGAAAACTATAAGGGGTCAGCCGGTGTTGATCCAGGTCTGGGTTAGATCACTGTACATTTCAATCATTTCCGCTTCTTTTCCTCACTGTCTGTGGCTAATTTTCATTGGAAGAACTGATGCTGAAGCTGAAACTCTGATACTTTGGCCACCTGATGTGAAGAGCTGACTCACTGGAAAAGACCCTGATGCTGGGAAAGACTGAGGGCGGGAAAAGGGGACGACGGAGGATGCAATGGTTGGATGGCATTGCTGACTCAATGGACATGAGTTGGAGTAAACTCTGGGAGTTGGTGATGGACAGGGAGGCCTGGCGTGCTGCAGTCTGTGGGGTCGCAGAGAGTCAGACAGGACTGAGCGACCGAACTGAGCTGACACATGATGTGAAGCCCGGTTTTGCCTGGAGTGTTGGTGACGGCCACGCCCCGATGGGGGGGCGCCATCCACCGCTGAGGTCACAGGGTTTGCTTCATCTGAAACGTGAGACGCTCAGAGCCACAGCTTTGGGGCACGCTCTGGGTGGGGGGTGCGGCTGGTTAAGAACAGCTCTTACGCACCAGGAAACACGGTAACGCTAACGGGGGTCTTGGGGGAGGAGCAGTGATTTCTATGCGAGAAGCTTGGGAAGAAAGAGTTCCTGTTGCCGCCTTGAAGAATATTTGCGGTTTTGCTCAACTACTCAGTGGACAGAGGGAAGACCCAGGTGGGCAAAGGCCCAGGGAGGGAAGGAGCCGGGGCTGGGGGCTCCCGCCCAGCCCCTGCCCCCCACGCCCACCTACCATTATGGTTCCTCCCGTCTGGGTCCGCAGGGGCTTGAGCACCTTCCTCTGCACCAGGAAGTTGGGCAGGAAGATGACCGGCGGGATCTCTGTGATGGTGGCGACGGCAAAGGACCACTGTGGGAAGAGACGCGGGCTGCTGGGCCGCCCTCTGCCCAACGGGCCCACAGGCAGCGATTCCCTCTGGACCAGCTTCGGGTGCCTGGGGGGCTGTGGGCAAGTGCGGCTCCTCAGGTGAGAAATGCCACCCCCCTACACACATACCATGGCTGAACTTCAGGCTCAGTACAGAGATGCTCACAACACCGTGTTCTCAAAGTGAAGTCAGCGCAAGGGCCTCATGGTCCAAGGCCCTCGGCTGCCCTCTTGTGTCCAGAAGGAGAACTGCAGGGGATGATCGGTCCCCACCGAGCCTAGCCAGAACGCGCCTGGCCCGCACCCGGGGCAGCAAGGCCCCGCGGGGGCAGGGAGGTGGATAAGGAAGGAGGATGCTTCTTTACAAGGTCACAGCGAGTCATCGACAGAGTCGGGACTGGACGCCCAGGGCTGCTGCTCCCCCAGCGCAGCACGCCCCTTCATCCGCCAGGAGTCAGCCGTCCCTTCAAATGGGGCCGCATGCTGTCGCCTGTCCCCTGCTGCCGAGGCAGGAGGGCCTGGGGCACCCAGATCAGGATACAGCCTCCCTACGACCTCCTGAGCCCTGGGCAAGTGTCCATGCACTCCGGTCCTGGACCTGTCCTGCCTGGCTGGGAACACCCGCGATCCAGACCCTGCTCTCCACCAACCCTAGGCAGAGTCCTGCACGGGCCCTGGCACCTGGTGGGTATTTCCCAAGAGCCTGGGGAGGCGCCAGGCCCGGGGATGGAGCTGGTCTGTGCTCACAGACACACAGCAGCCTGGTGGGGAGGTGCTGACCTGCAATGGGACAGCTTTGCTGGGGGAGGGGGAACACGGTCTGGTTGGACAGCTGCAAGACGTGTGTGTGTGCGTGCACACGTGTGTGTGTGTGCGTGCACACGCGCGTGTGTGCAAGCGCATATGCACATGTGTTCACATGTATGCATGTGTGAGTGAGCGGGGGCATATGTGTGCAGGTGTGTGGAGGAGGGAGACCCAGAAATGGGAAGGCAGGGGCTCCACCTGTCTGTCACACCAACCCCAGACCAGCAGCAACCCAGCATGTGGGAAGCGGGGAAGACTGTTCCCTGGAAGGGAGCGACCAGCCCCCGAAGGAAAACATTGACCACTGCCTCCCTCCCACCCCCAGCAAGCCAGCAGGGGACAGAGAAGGAAAGACGAGGAAGCCGCCGCCCCCGAAGGGAAATTAAGAAGGCAATTTCATTTACAATGACATCAAAAAGAATAAATTAACCAAACAGGTATAAGACTTGTACAGTGGAAACTACAAAATGCTGCTGAAAGAACTAAAGGAGATCTGAGTAAGGGGAAAGACCGGTGTCCGTGGGCTGAAGACCTAACCTTGTGAAGATGCCGGTTCTCTCCTAATTCATCTACAGACTCATAAGCACTACCCAATCTCAATTCCGTTTTTTGGTTTGTTTGTTTGTTTTGCACAAGTGGAGAAGCTCTCCTGTAACCCTGGGGGTCCCATTTCCTGGGGACCTCCGGAGGTGATCTGTGCATGGGAGTCTGTGTCTCTGCCCTCACAGACTCAGGGCACCGTGGGGGCGGCAATGAGGCCCAAGTTGCGCCCAGACTCCCTGGGGCTCCGGCCACAGTTTCCAGGACATCCTTGGCTTCCAGACCCCACACCCAATCTGAGCACAAGAACGTCCTATTGTTCCAACTTCACAACAAACCCCGGGTCCTGCCATGTCCGCCTCCGGCCACGGCTGCTTCCAGCCTTGTCCGAGCGTCCAGGCTCTCCACCAGGATCACGGCAACCACCCGCTTCGTCTTGGGCTCCTGATTTCGTCCTGATAGCCGGGTCTCACCTATTCCCATCACAGCTGCCAAGCAAGCTTCGGAAACCTAGGTCAGTTTACGTTCCCCTGCTTGAAACGCTCCTGGGCTCCCACCTCCCTCAGAGCAAAGTCGCAGTGACCACAGGCCCTCGGTGGTCCTGACCCTCATCACTTTCTGTCCCCACCTCCCTTCCATTCCCTCCAATCCAGCGGTGTCACTGCTGCTCAGGGCCTCTGCCCCTGCTCCTCCTGCTCGCCCAGAATGCCCTCCCCCAGACGCCAGCCCAGCCCACTCCCCCACTCTCCCCTTTGGGAGACTGAGCCCCCTCCAGGCCTGAGTCTCTACAACCATCTTCCTCTGAAATGCCACAAGTATCACCTACTCATCACTGTGGTCTCAGCTCACACCTCACCTCCCCTGTGAGGCCCTCCTTGAATACTGAGACTACACAAGCATACCTCTGCATAGTGACCCTTTTTCTCTCTGTCGCACCTGGTGCTCTGAAATGCTTTTGTACTGATACTTCTTTCAGTCTTCTACCAGGAAATGCAAATCCATGGCAACAGGAAACTTGCTTATTCTTTTTTTTTTGGCACCCAGCACACAGTCAGAATTCCATATAGATGTGTTACATGACTGAATACTTCTTCACCTTAGTAGGTCATATGGACATCATCATGTTTCTCCTTTTGCTCTGGCCACCAGGGAGCTCCAGATATGTAGCTTGGCTGTGGCCTCTTAGCCATGTTGGCACATCTGAATTCTCCTCCTGCCCTTGACGTCAGTTTTCTACTTGAGACTCTACCTGTGAATACTTGTTCGTATTATGACGTAGCACATAGAAAGCTGCCTTCGGGGTGCTGGGGGGCCCAAGGTCAGGCATGCGGTCAGCCGCACATGGTTCCCTGAAAGGACCTCCAAACAGAGGCCCTGGAGCCCAGCCTCCACCCAGCTTTCTCCGGGCGCTGCCTCCAGCCCGGCCCCCCTCTGTCCTGGCCTCTCCCTGGCCCTACCCTCACCCTCTGGACTCTGGCCGGCATGTCCTCCTGGCCCCACCCCTGGGCTGTGGACTGTGACCTCGCACGTCCCGGCCCCGGGAAACCAGGGCAGCCAAGCGCTGGGCTTCCTGCCAGAGCCTCGCACAGCTCGCTCTCCCGGGAGCCAGGTTTCACCGTCTTCCTGGTAATCTTTCAGGAGCGCACGCTGCCACGGCTCCATCTAGAATTCTCACAGCTCGGGCTGGTGTGCAGGCGTGACTGGAGCCCAGTGGCCTGTCTGCGGTCCCCCCGGGGCCTGCGGGACCTCCTGGGTGACCGTGAGCAGGTGCGGCCTCTTTGCAGGCTTGTCCACCTGGGGGGCGGGGCCTGGTGACCTCAGGTGTCCACCCTGGCTCCAAGATGAGGGCTGCTGGGAGCCCAGCGGTACGTGTCAGGGTCCCACGCTCCCGGGGGCAGAGAACCCGGGGCATCCTCGCCCCACCGTGTTCTGACGCTGCCCCCAGCCCCGCCTGCCTTCCTCCCAGACAAAGGGGCCTAACAACGCCTCTGCCCTCAGAAGCACTGTGTGGCTCCTCTGGAAAGAGGTCGTCACAGGCAGCCTGCAGGCCGGACTCACACACCTTCCCGTGAGTCGCTGCATTAACAAATCAGGAGCTGTCACCCACCGATCTGGATTTCTCTTTGAAAGCCAGGCCCACAGAGGAGCTGGGTGGCAGCCACCGCCTGGGAGGGGCTGGCGCTCGGGTTCACCCCGATACCACCCACCACCCGCCTGACCACTGGTGCACGTTCCCAGCTGGGCCCTGGGGCGCAAAAACTAGCTTTCAGAGCAACAGTTTCCAACAAGTCTCTAGCAGAAGCCCTCGAAACAGAATCTTCACCTTCAGCTCAATACAGGCCAAGGTGGAACAGATGTGGTTGGAGGGGGACAAGGAGCTGGGGTCCCCCACCCACCACCCCAGCAGGGGTCCTGGAGGCCTGTCCACAGAGCCCAGATGGCGAGTCACTGAGACAGAAGCCCTGAACCCCGGCAAAGTTTTGATCCCCATCAAAGGGCCATCCGTGCTCTCCTACTCCCAGGGATGGGGGCTCACGACCACCAGGAGCAGCCACGCGCATCCCTGGTGCCTGCCCTCCTAGGGCCCCTGGCTCCCGATGGGGACCGCAGACGCACACGCCCCCCTGCACAGGGGCAGGAGTGGAGCCCCTCAAGACTGCGGCCCCTCCCCCCGCTGGTGGCCCCCAGGCCCCGTACCTTCAGCTCGTTGAGATAGCGCCTCGTGTGCACCACCAGCAGATCCTCGTCCGAGGCCTCCCGCGCCTCCACCAGCATGCTGTCTGACAGCAGCTTCTCTTCTGAAACCACAAAGCGGGCACCCTGCAATCCTGCCGGCCTCCATCCAGCCCCAGCCCCTCCCTCGGGCTCAGACAGGGCCCCTGGCAGCCCCACCCCAGGAGAAGGCGGCCCCTGCTGGCTTGTGGGTGGTCTTGGAACGGGCCACCTCTCAGGCCGGTGTGGAGAGCCGCCAGGCCCTCGGGCCAGGGCACAGGACGTTGGGCCCAGCGATCCTCCTGTGCCCCAGGCCACTGAGAGCCAGGGGGTGAGCTCAGGCGTGGCTGGGCAACTTGCAGAGGCAGGAGGAACGGGGATCATCAATGCTGCGTCTCAAGGTGAGAAAAACTCTCCTGATTGAGTCTCCTCCACCTTGGGGTGACGCCATGGGGGTGTCGTGTGTGGGGGCCTCTCTGTTAACACTCACCTGATCCTTGCTCCTCCCCCTTTTTCTAACCCCCTCACAAGCAGCGATCACTTTCACCGTCTGTCACAACAGTAAGCTGCCTGAGCTGGAATACACTGCTACTTTCAATGCATTTATTTTTTTACCGTGACCTTCTATTTACATCAAGTGAAACTGGCTTTCTCCATTGAGATGACATAATGTTCCCTTTTAAAACAGGCTTATTTAAGGTTTTAAAAATGAGGTCTAGGTCGATAAAAAACTCTGACGTAAATAATGGAACAGGTGGTATAAGTTGTGGCAAGAGTGGTTTGCCAACGACTGGTGTTTGGGAAACACCACGCTATGTCGTCACCCCACACACACACCAGACAAAATTCCCTCCTTTTTGCACCAGAAGAAATGAGACAGAGGGGAGGAAGCGCTCTGTCTAGGGCACTGTGAGAACGGATCCGTGATGCTCTGGTCCTAGGGAAACTGAAGGACAAGGTTCGAATCTACGGGACCTGTGCTAATGTGTCACTCTCAGAAACCAGGAAATGCTCTGTCTAGGGAACAGTGAGAACGGATCCCTGATGCCCTGGTCCTAGGGAAACTGAAGGACGAGGTCACAATCTACGGGACCTGTGCTAATGTGTCACTCTCCGAAATCGACCCTGCTAGAGACCGGCTTGCTATTGTTGTTCAGTCACTAAGTCACTCTGAGACCCCACCGACTGTGGCCCGCCAGGTTCCTCTGTCCACGGGACTTCCCAGGCACGAATACTGGAGTGGGTTGCTATTTCCCCCTCCAGGGGATCTTCCCAGATCAGGGATCGAACCCGCATCTCCGACACTGGCAGGCAGATTCTTTACCACGGAGCCACCTGGGAAGCCCCTAGGCACCACCTGGTCCGCACATCCCCCACAGAGAGCGCCACGGGGAGCAAGCACCCCGCCCGGGGCACGTCATGGCTCCCCACCACCTTCCCGCTCCACAGGGAGCAAGCACCCCGCCCGGAGCACGTCATGGCTCCCTATCACCTTCCCCCAAAGGACCAGCCCTGCTCCTGGCAGCACCCAAGGCCCTCTGCCACGTGGCCCTGCCTCCTCTCTACCCACATCCTCATCAGAGACAGAAGCGAAGTCGGGAAGATGGTCAGCTCAGAGTGGTGGGGACAAGGCACCCTTCAGTTGCAACGCAGGGTGACGCGCGAGCCCAGGAAGGGGCGACCTGCGGAGCGCCTCAGGCCCGCTGGAAGCAGAGACAGAAGGACCTCATTCAGGGAGGCGCGAGAACTCCCTGGAGGCCCAGTGGTCACAGCTGCGAGCTTCCACCCCCAGGAGAGAACAGTCAGGGGGAGGCCGGCTGGCTCCACCCCCACCAGAGCTCTTCCCAGGGCAGCACACTTGTCCTCTTTTCTACATAATCTTTTTCTTTGAATAAGCACTCTGGTCGCTACTGCAGGTGGAAAATCAGTATTACCTGCCAAATACAGAAGGTAACCAAAACTAAAAACAAACAAAAACAAAAGCTACAAAGGCAACAGTGTCAGTAATCTCCAATGTGACTCCTGTCTGCAAGGTGCAGGGCCGGAGGCTCGCTCTAGATTTGTTAAAGAGGGAGATGGGTTTAGGGGTTAAAGGTGGGCTAGCCCCAAAATGAAACATCCCCAGGGCATAATCAAAGGCATTGTGTGATGCAGAGATATTCAATGCTTCATCCTATTCCAGATATAACACTTCCTACTTCCCTCAGTTAAAGAACCCCCAATATAGGAAACTGGAATATCTTTTTTTTTTTCACCAGTCTACTGTGATGGTTGAATTTTCATCCCTGGATTAGAAACCACGGTTGAAACAGTGCACTCCCCACAGCATCACCCTACTCAGGGGACGAGCCATAAATGGGATGAGGCCAGAGCTCTGAGGTTCAGACCTTTCTGGGCCCAGTTTCCTCGATTTTTCATCAGTGGGGTTGGAGTAAAGGTGGTTCAGCTCCAGGATTCTCGGACTTTGTGGGGTATGGACAGTGCATCCCTCCAAACGTCAGCTTCCCTGGCTCCACGGCAACCAGCTCCCCTGCTACTGGGTCTCCAGGGGCAGAGACAGAGCTTAGGTCCCCAGGGAACGGGAGCCAGTGAAGGGGTGCTATGGGGCCAGGATGAGCTCAGAGGTCTGTGTTGGAAAGACCCTCGTGACAGCTCGTGTGGAAGGCAGTCTGAGGGTTGGGACTGGAGCGGGGAGGGTCTGAAGCCTGCGCGAGGGAAAGGCATCAGGGGGTGGTGGTGGCGGCAGGGGGGCTGCAGGGGGCAGATGCAGATCCCAGCGGGGCCTTCCATACCTTTCAGGAAGCTGATCACTTTGCCCCATTTTCCTGCGTCAAAGGGGTGCAGCTTCTCCAGGCCCAGGAAGGTTATGTTGTAACGCGGTGAGTACACGATGGGCCAGCGTGAGTCCGGCACATGCTGGTACAGCTGGGTTGGGTGTGGCCTTCGTGGGCACGGGGACAGACACGCACAGACAGGAACAACCTCAGTGTGGGAGCAGCTGCGCCAAGGCGCCAGCAGGCTCGGACGGAGCACACAGCCCTGACCCAGTATCACTAGCTCCCTTGGCGGCAGAAAAAGGGCCACAGCAACAACACTAAAATAGTGGCTCCTTACTGAGCTCCCTGAACCATTCGGCCCAATCCTGGCAGCAGCCCCGGGTGGGTGTAGGCACCACCATCCCACCAGAGGCTCAGAGAGGGGACCAGGGGCACCCCAAGGTCACCCGGGTCTGTGGAGCAGCCGATGTGGACCAGGTGTGTGGCTGTAAGCCTCAGCACCTCACCTCCACATGACAACAATTACAACCAACAGCTGTGTGGCCTTAGGCCTGGCTTTCCTCGGCTGCAAAAACGTGTGCGGCTGTCTGTCGGGAGGACTGAGATAACGCACTCAACAATCGAGCACAGAAAGCGCCCTGTCCCTGACAAGCGAGGGGGACAGTTCCCAGAAGCAGCAGCTCGGGGCTCACGCAGGCTGCGGCCCAACCCGGAGCCAGGGATGGGGTCACCTCGGCCCAACCCGCAGCCAGGAATGGGGTCACCTCGGGCCCTCCGCGCCAGCTGACCCCCATCACACCTCCGCAGCCGCCGCACAGGGCACAGAGAGCCGGCTTGCCAGCGCGGGGGCCTCCGCTCTGCTGGGGGGGCCCCGAGGACAGACGCCAAGCCGCGCATGTCGCGGGCCCCCGCCCGGCCAGAGCCCCGTGCGCCGCAGATGAGTGGCGCTGGGCTGGCCATGGCACGCGGGGCGCTGACCCGGGCCAAGCGGCCCGAGCGCCCGCCATACCTGGGCCCGCACCTGGCGGGCTCGCCCGGCCGCCCGCGCACCGGTGCGTCCGCCCGCGGGGACCCCTGGGAACCCCCGCGGCCTGGCCGGCGCCCCAGCCCGCGCCCCCGCCCCCGCCGCACTCACATCCCGGGGCCGGGCCCTCCCTGCGCCGCCACCGCTCCGCGATCGGGCGGGGCGGGGCGAGGCCCCGCCCAGGACACGCCCCCGGCCTCGGCCGCCTCCGCTGGGGGCGGAGCTCAGAAGGCTCGGCCCCGCCCCGCCCCCACTCGGGCCTGCGTCACAGAGGGTCGGAGTCCCGCGCCGAGCTCTCCGGCGGCGCGGACGGAGGCCACGCCCCCAACGCCCTTCAAGCTCCAAGTCCCGCCTTCCGCAGGGAAACACTCAGTGAGATCTCTCCCTGCTCGGAAGCCGCTCCCCTTAGGGGGAGGGCCGCTCGTCGCAGAACTGGAACGGCAGCAATCGCCCCGCCCTGGAGGGCGGGGTCACGTTATGCCCCGCCTCCGGCCTCCCGGCCTGTCTTCGCGGTCCCAAAAGATCCTGGGAGCTAGGGACGCCCGGCTTCCGGGCGGACTCGGAGGCGGAGTCGCTGTGTGACCCCGGCCCCAGCTGGGCGAGCGTCTGCGCTCTAGGGTCTCTGTTTCCACTAGCGAGATGAGGTCGGGCCGGGTGTTCTGGCCTTGACATTTCCGACCTAATGCGATGCATGACCTCTCTGCCTCGAGGTCCCCCACGCCCACTGCCCAGCCTCGTGGCAGCTCTGACTTGAGACAAGCGCTCCGCACACAGTCCTTCAGCCTCTCTGAGCCTCCGTGTCCTTATCAGTAGAACCAGACTGGTGATCCACTCTTCAGGGTACAGTTGTTTATCTGCACATCCACACCTCCTCCGCCTCGGGAAGCCAGAACTAGCTGGGCAACAGCTGAGTGTCTTGCGGCTGCGCCCCGGGAGGAGGCCCCAACAATAGAGCCCCAGAGGATAGAGACAATGGGCTTCTCTGTCGGCCCAGTTGCCCCACCCAGCACACAGAAGCAGCTGACCCCAGGGCTGCCAGGCACAGGGCGGCTGGGATTCCTGCTGGCTGTGTGAGAGCGTAGGTGTGCTGGGCCTGTAGGCTGGGGTTCCCCATGAAGGGGAAGGGCACAGACGTTTGAAAGGTATCCTCATTCCTGTCACCTGATTGCATGATAGCACTGAACTCTCAGAGCTCCGCTAGTGGCTCAGATGGTAAACAGACTGCCTCCAACTCAGGAGAATCTTCCCTGGGTCGGGAAGATTCCCTGGAGAAGGGAAAGGCTACCCACTCCAGTATTCTTGCCTGGAGAATCCCATGGACAGAGGAGTCTGACAGGCTACAGTCCAAGGGGTCACAAAGAGTCAGACACGACTGAGCAACTAACCCTTTTCACTTTCACTGGACTCTCACAACCTAATACTACCAGGGGGCTCCATCATCACCCCAAGTTTACATGAGGTCTCTGAGGTTCAGATCTGGATTAAGTCCAGACTCAGCCACCAGCCAGCTGGCACTGTGACCTTGGGCAACTGGTCCTTCATTTCTTTTTCTCAAGATGAAGTGATGCTTGCCCTTCCACCCCGTGGAGAGATGGAGAGAATCCAAAGAGATAATCGTGCTGAATATTATTAAAATATCACGGAGCATATGTTAGGCTCAATTCTAAAAGCTTTACGCTCATTTGATCCTAGAGGCAAACCTAGGATTTGATCCATACAGAAAAACTAGGAGTCGAACTATGGTTATCCCTGTTTAACAGATGAGGAAACTGGGGGCACAGAATAAAGTACTTTGCCCAAAGGCTGGGGATGAGGACAGATAACCTATAGCCACAAAGAGAAACAGTTAATATTTAATAATAACAAGGGGAAAAGTGCACACCGTGGTCCTGGGTCTTTGAGAGAGGCGAGCTTCATCTCAGGGAGCTTGCTCTGTGGTTTGGAAAGTCATGTGGCAGAGCCTCTTGGTGAGAGAACAAAGATCTGGGGCAGACCGGATTGGGACCTGAGGCCAAAAGAGCGGGCAAGACGGTATTCAGGTTGTGTCCTGTGTGGCTGATGAGCAAGGGGAGCCCTGGGGCTTGGGGACACTGTTGAATGTCCACGCTAGCCTGGACCACCTTCCCACACTACCACTTGCTGGAGAAATAAACTAAGTTATTTGTGCTGAGTGTTTGGGGGCCTCTTTTTACAGAATCCTACTCTGTCCACCAAGACACCCCCGAAGGCAAGACCTAAGAGGTTTTGTCAGGTTGGCAGGGCCTTTGGAGAGCAGTGGGGATGTTTGGACACCCTGGATGGAAGGAAATCGTTGCTCCCATCTCTGGACTCCTAGCAGCAGTTGGCTCCACCAGGGACGACAGGCCCTGAGAGAAGTCACTCCACAGCCACGGCATCTCATCAGCCCACAGCTGGCTGGCCTGTCACTCGAGGGCCCCAGGGGGCCAGCAACAAACACCACACATGCTCTCGGAGTGTCCTGCAGCTGCCCGCGTGGAGGGACACACACTCACAGCCATGGGCGCACACTCGCCACATCACACCCAGATACACACACAAGCACCCAGGTGGGCGCAGGTGCGAAGTGGATACAAACGCGCTGACAGCGTGGTCCGCCGCGCCCTGCCCACGGTCTACTAACCCTGGCCAATTCTTTGGTTCTCCCAGGACCTGTTTTGTGGATTATCCCAGGAGGAAGGTGGCAAGCCCTACAGAGTGCCCCCAGGGACTCCTGACCCGCCCTGGAATGGAGCGTCTTCTTCACCCTGGTGTCTCTGCCCCAGAAGGGGACGTTGCTGGAATACAGATCTTGAAAGAGAGGCGGGAAGGAGGGAGGAGACGCAGACATGGACGTGTCACATGTTACTTCTAACATGCGGGAAACACAGATCTGTAAGCCCATAAAAACCTATGGGAGCGTATTCACAGGTTCCTGGACTCCAGACCTGCTCCAGGGGACTATTAAGGGCTGGGCCCAGGGGCCACCAACCTTCAGAGACCCCTTCAGCCCTCACTTAGAAAGTGGGCTTCGGTCCAGCTGGTTCACACCAGCAGAGCATCCGCTCAAAGCCCTCCCCATCTGCGCTCCTACTGTTTCAGAGGAGTGGACCCTGCTCCTGCCATCTCACCTGGAGCCCCCCTCCAAGCCCACCTGCCCCATAGGAGCTGGCTTCACACCAGGGGGGCCGGCCAAGACCGCTATGGGGCTGCCTCTGGAGAGAGCTTCAGGCGCTCAGTGAAGTTACAGCTTCTGGCCTTTAAAGCCAGCAGTGCTCCCAGCCCACCTCCCCCAGCCCGTTTCCCCCAGCCCACCTCCCCCAGCTCTTTCTCTAAGGATGAGAAACAGGCCCAGAGACGGAGGGCGTGGATTCTACGAGGGTTCTCATGGGCAACATCAGTTCATCTCTCTCTCTCACACACACACACACACACACACACACACACACACACGCATAGAGCCATCACACATTTGTCTGGAGTGCAGGAGATTTTTCAAGGTTTTCTCTTTCAATACGGAAAAACATGAAGAAAATGAAAAATGGCTTGGAATGCCACTGCACAGATAATCCCAGTGGCATTTAAAAAATAAAGTTAATGTATGCACACATTTAGAAAATTTAAACAGTTCCCAAAAGATGATAAAAGAAGAACTAAAAGCTTCTCTACCGCAGTCCTTCTCCCGGGAGATGATTCCTTTTTTTGCATTTCCTTCCTGAGTACTTTGGTAAATCAGCATTTTTACTGATTAAAAGAGAACTGCTCTCTGCCCACTGTTCTGTACTTTGCGAGTGTTGCACCTGAACGGCATCTCTGAAGATCTCTCCAGACCAACACATCCTTGGTCTCCACCTCTTTTTGAATGGCTGTGTTTTATTTCCATGGTAAGATTGCATTCTCTGTGCACGTGTGTTCGTTTCCTGTTTCTTTGCTGTTACAAAGCCCCGGCTGCATCTCCTTGGTGTACCTGCACGTGCAATATTTCCATAGGGTCAGTTGGAAGTGGAAGCCCTCGGATGAAGAGCGTGCGCACTTTAAGTCTGGCAGCGGTTGCCAAAATGCTCTTCAGAAAGGTGCCACCAATTTACACTTTTATTGATGGTATAAGAGGGAGTCTGTCTCCTTACACTCTTACTAATTTTGCCAGTCTGAGGAGTGAGAAGTCATATGTCAGTGTTTTCTTAACAGCTTTATTGAGATGTAATTCACCTGCTAAACAATTCACCCATTTAAAGTGCACAGTTTAATCTTTTCAATATATTGAGTGTCATGCCACCATCCACATAATCAGTTTTAGAACATTTCATCCCCACTCTCCTGCAAAAAAAAATCTGTAATCACTAACAGACACTGCTGCATTTCCTCCTGCCCCCTAGCCCCAGGCAACCATTAATCCACTCTCTGCATCTATTGATTGGCCTATTCTGGACATTTTATAAAATCAAATGATGTAATATATAGACTTCTGTGTCTGATATTTCACTGAGTGTGATGTTTTCAAGGTTCACCCACATCGTAGCAGGCCTCAGGACTTCAGTCCTTTTGGGACAGAATAACATTCCACGATAGGAACAGAGCACGTTCTGTTTATCCATTTATCAGATGATGGACACTTGGGTTGTTCCCATCTTTTGGGTTTTGGGAATACTGTTGCTATGCACATTAGGGGTCAAGTTTTGTGTGCACCTTTGATTTCCTGTCACATGAACTTGGGCAAACTCCGGGAGCTGGTGAAGGACAGGGAGGCCTGATGTGCTGCAGTCCATGAGGTTGCAAAGAGTCAGACACGACTGAGCGACTAACACTTTCACACAGTAGGACACCTGGCTGGTAGCACAGACGTGCTTGCTGTCAGAGCCCGCATTGTCACCGGCGGCAGAGTTACAATTGGTGTCAGAACCTTCCTGCCGATTTGAGTTCTGTGTTAATCGTGGACAGGTAGTCCACTGTCTGGCACATGTATTCTAAACAGACTTTTCATTTTTTGACTTCATTCACCGTATTTGGTGATATTCAGGACTCAAATGTCTTTATGTTTTTAACGTTACAGGCTTTTTCCTCTTTAGGCTTACAACCAGCTTCGGCGGGTCTTCCCCACCATGATTATAAACTTATTCATAACTTCTTCAGGAACCTTCATGACTTTTCCTTCCCCTCCTTCCTCTATCGTCACTTCTATTTAAGACTCTGATCCGTGTGGGGTTTACTCTGGTGCCAGGAGCAAA